AAGTACAGTAACTATGAGGGAAGTACACACTAAGTTTTAAGGCATGAGGAAGCCTCAGTCCATACAGGCCCCCGAAGGATTATGGAAAATCAGGGTTCTATCCAAAAATCAATGGGAGTCACTAAAGAGCTCTGAATGGGGGTGGGGTGGCCTAATCGTATTGGCAGTTTGAAAAGATTTGGGGTTTTGTTTTGAGTTACGTTTATGTATTTATTTCTATGTGTGTGTGTGTGTGCGTGCGTGCGTGCGTGCGTGTGTGTGTGTGTGTGTGTGTGTGTGTGTGTGTGTGTGTGTGTGTGTGTGTGTTATGTATGTGGAAGTCAGAGGACAACTCTGGAAACTGGTTTTCTCCTTCTACCACATGGATTCTCGGGATAGAATTCGAGTCTTCAGGCTTAATGGCAAGCTCCTCTTTTCCCACTGAGATACAGCATCAGCCCAGATTTTTGTGTCTTGCTTTACACTACCTTGCTTAGTGAAAAAAAAATCATTTTTGATGCAATGTAAAAAATGAATTCAAAAGGGCATAAGCAGGGGGTGAGGCTTTTGTAGCATTCTAGGAGGAAAAGGTTTATAGGATGGTCTTGGGAGTGGTTTAGTCTGAGAGGCATTTAGAAGGAGGTGAGGAGCAAAAGCCTAGGATGAAATTATGTATCTATCGGTCTCTTCTGGCATCACACTGATCCTGTCCCTTTACCCCAACCTAGTCACTTTTCATCCAGATCACTATTTCTGAGAGCATCGTCCCAGAAGGGTTTCTTGAAAGACCACAATGTTGTCTAAATGTAAGTCCCTTTTGGGGGGGAGGGGAGTTATGAGCAAATGAAGCAAAATTCCAGACTTTTTTAAAATGATAAACAACTGAGTTATAAAGGGGTACTAAAATTTGTTAGTCATAAAATAAAATTAGCTCTTAACTGGAGTTCACAGAAGGCTCTAATTTGGTTTTCTACTAAGAAGTCTGGCTGCCAGGCAATGTTTGGCAATGCTGCCAAGCCCCTGCATACAGCACACACACTAGCTGGCATGCTCACCATTTTTAGGAAGGGCAATTTGTTACTGGGGCATTACCAGTGACGTTTGGAACTGGTCATGGTTTATAGTGCCTGGCATTCATGCATTTTAATTACAAATTATGATTCACAGAGTGCCACCATGACTGGTTTAATATGGTGTGAGTTACTTGAATAACTCTTGGGGTAAAGGCAAGAGAGGCAAGAGATACCTCTCCAACCTTGCTCCTGCTACTGGCCTGCCTTCCTTGCTGGTCCAAGGCAGGAGTGGTGAGGCCAGCCTCAGGGGCTTTTCACTTTGCTATGTCACTGTCTGGAGACTCCCCACTCTCTCTTACCCCAGTGATACCATACCCCCTGCCTTTCCTGGAGGTCTTTGCTCTGTTGCTGCCTCTGTGAGGCTGTGTCTGAACACTATATTTAAATTATAATCATCTGACCCCAAATGTCTAGCTACATCACCCTGATTTGTGTTTCTTCTTGGCATATACTACCATCTAGCATACCATGAGTTTTATTTATTTATTGACAATTTCCCTCCATGTAGAAGATAAGCTCCATGAGAGTTTATCGTGTGTGTGTGTGTGTGCGCGCGCGCGTGTGTGCGTGCGTGTGTGTGAGTGTGTGTGTGTGCGTGTGTGTGTGTGTGTGTGTGTGTGTGTGTTGTTTCTTTCTGTGTCACCAATACCTATGACAGTGAGTGCCTGGCACAGAGTAGACAGCCTATCTGTAATTACTACATAAGAAGGAGTAGTTACCTCATAAGGATTTTTTTACCTCTTAGTCCTTTACAGCTCCTAAGCCACAGATGAACATAGTTCAAATCCAAATCATTCATATCCCTGCTGCCAAAGCAGCCACACACACAGGAGCCCAGAAGAGTGCATTTATACATGCATTTCCGTATTCCCAAGTCCCACTAAGCTCCCTGTTATTATTAGTCCCATCCAGGCCTACTCCTTCCCACCCATCCAACACACTCGAATGAAAATCTCCAAAGACCAGTTCATGCATTCAGATTAATATTCAGCCAATTTCTTTTCAGAATTAAATATATGCAAGTTTTTATCCAAGAAACAGAGAGCAACAATGAACAAGAATACAGATTGGAGCTTTGCCACAATAGAGTTTATACAGTGGTAGCCATGTCACGCTGTTCTGTTTCCAGAAAGTGGACTTAGTCCTTTATAGGAAAAGATGAATGCTGTGTTGAAACTTGACAGACATACAATAAAGAAAAAGGAAATTCAGGGCACGGAAAAGTAAAGCAGATGGCAGCCGATGGGAAAGACTGTACCAGGCACAGGGCAAGCGCAGTTTCAAAGGCCTGAAGGAGAAAGAGTGTGGATACAACTCCGCAGAGAGAGGGCAGGTCAGTGTACTGATGGGGGAATTTTCATGTAATTTATGGCAAGTCTGAAATAGACTGGGTAGCAATGAGCAGTCCATTCGGGGTCATCTGACCCTATGAACCAACCCCGTTAGATTTTTGAGACTTCGAGGACAACAAGAAATGCTAAAAAGCAGGGCTAGAGAGATGGTTCAGCTATTAAGAGCATGCGCTGCTCTTGTAGACCTGAGTTTGGTTTCCAGAGCCCACCTTGGGTTGCTAACAATCATCTGAAATTCTAACTCCAGGGTTATCTGATGCCTCTGGTCTCAGCAGCCACCTGAACACACACACACACACACACACACACACACACACACACACACACGCCTTTAAAAGAAGAAAGCACTATAGGACCTGATCAGTGGCATGACGTAAACCATTAAGCTTCTAACTATCCCAACCCTGACCCTTCCTCACCACTGTGGGCTGCCAAGTCCTAATGTCCTCCTCCCTGAAGCCCCTCTACTGCTCCAACCTGCCCGCCTTTCTCTCCTTCGGCCCTAGGAATCCTTCATCTCTCTGCTCTCCACTATACTGGGAGACAGAGACCACGTACCAAGCATGTCTGCTACGAGGCATACCTTAGTACCTAGTACTGATCTAAATTGAGTTTTACTGAGACAAGACTATGATAAACATAACTTAGCACAACCTAGCGTTTTTCTTACAACCCATGAGTGGCTATCGTGTACTGAAACACCCTTCCCCACCAGTAGACAGTGCTTGCTGATATGTGCAGTGCCCGTTGACCTAAGTTGCTCTCCTCCCTGTCTGTGGTCACCTCTCTCTGCGTTCAATGTAACAGGTCATTGATGTTTCCCCAGTGAGACTGGAGACACTCATCCTGTTTGAACTTGTAAGTTGCTAGAAAAAAATTCATTTGTGGTTAAAAAAAAAAGCAGACCAGTGGTTAGGGGTCCGGGGGCAGTGAGAACTCAAGGGGACTAAGGCACAAAGGGTATCTTGTAATAGAAGAGATATTCTATATTTTGATTGTATCTATGTAAGTGTACAAGTCTGTCAAAACCTGAAGCTTACACAATGATCTATTTTATTTTATTATAAGTAACTAGCTAGACCTGCGTAACTTCAAGTTAAAACAAACTGCCTATATACCAAGGGCCAGCTGCCTTAAGCACGTACAAGAGTTTCAAAACACAGCTCAGTCTCAATATAAAACTAGGGCATGGTCAACACGAGAACAGAATAACCTCTCAATTGCTACAGAACTCTAAGAATGATAGGTTCTTCAGCTGTAGATGGTCAGCGTAAAAGAAGCAGAGGGCACTACATTAATATGCAAAAATATGTACCAAAACATGTAAAGTCACAAATATCACGGACACATGTTTGCTCTCCAAACCTTAATATACCTAGGCTTAAGAGTAGAAAACTTAAAAAGAAGAAGAAGAAGAAGAAGAAGAAGAAGAAGAAGAAGAAGAAGAAGAAGAAGAAGAAGAAGAAGAAGAAGAAGAAGAAGAAGAAGAAGAAGAAGAAGAAGAAGCAGCAGCAGCCCCGGAAGAGTTAGAAAAGCCTGAGTCTAGCTGGTCATCCATGGTGATGCTGGGGGTGATTCAAAACTCCTGTGAGAAGGACATAGACACGACCTTCACATGGTAGAGTGGGTGAGAGGCTCGTGGGGAGGAGATTTGTGTTTGCGGGCAGGGAACAGGATTGGGAAAAAGGACTTTCTCCCCATCCTCTCTGACTTCTCATTCTAACCCCCTGCACACAATCTACTCCCTATCCCTGTACAGTTCTCTGGAGCCCCCTCTCAGAGCACCCTCAGGGCAAATGGCTCGTCCCGCGCTTAGCTCCGCACTAACCTAACAGCGCTGGACTGGAGGGAGACGGCGGAGGGTCAAGGGGGATGGGCTGGACAGGATGGGTCTGTGAAGAGGTGGAAAAGACAGATGCAGCTAAAAGTAAAATGACAGTGGGTTTAGGAAAATATGGGAGAGTAGGACAGGATTTGGATTTGTGAGAGAGAACAGGAGACTCAGTTCAGTGGGAACACAAGCCTCTAGTCACAGGAGAGAGGATGGAGATCAACAGGGAGTAATTGGCGGTTAAGGTCAGAGGTCATCAGAAGACAGCAGGCCACAGTGTGACATTACCTGCTTACGAGTCTGTTTCTGGGGCATTGCTGCAAAAATAGAAAGCTCCTCAAACCCTGAAAAACCTACAAAATGCTCCCTCTCCCGGGGAGAATTTCCTCCTTCTTGACCACACACAAGAAATGCAGACTCTCTTCCACTTCAATTCCCAGCTATCAGGGTTCTTCAGGGACAGCTGTCGTTGTGGGTCCCCCGCGCCCTTGTAGAACAGCATCGGCTCCTCCCTGACGCGGTTACCCAGCAACCGATAGGCAGTCAAAGCGCAGGCGCGCCTAGCGCCCCCTCCCGGCTCGGAGAGGAGGCGGAGCCGGGTGCGCAAGGATCCTCGGGCTCCGCTAAGCCCCGCCCCCGCAGCGAAACTGCGTCCACGGGCTGCGCGCACTGGGAAGCTCCCGCAAGTGGGCCGGGCTCGGGCGTGCGGACACCGCCTTCTCATGAATAATGCAGGATCCGGGCGGTGTCCCGGACCCGGAAGTGGAGTTGCAGAGTCACCGCAGTGGCTGAGCTGCTGACAGGAGGCGGCGGCGGAGGAGGAGGCGAGGCAAGACCTGCGGCTCCGCGGGGCCACTGCCGCGGTAGCTCTAGGCAACCCCACGGAGCTACGCCGGCCACAGTCAGCCCGCGAGCCCCTCGCCGCCCGTCCATCCTTCCATCCGCTTATCCGCCCGACTGGTCCGGGGCGGCCTTGTCTGCATCATCTCTGACGGACTTCTGGGGCCGCCGCCCCGTGCGGTCCAGTCGGCGTCCCTGGCCGCGCCCGGCCCCTGGCCCGCTCGCCCGCCGGCACCATGATGGAGGAGATCGACCGGTTCCAGGTGCCCACCGCGCACTCGGAGATGCAGCCGCTGGTGAGGGGGCGGGCGGCGGGCAGGCCAGGGCCGGGAGGGGGCGCCGCCGGAGGGAAGGGAAGGAACTAGGCCGTGGGGATTGTGCGAGGGGGCGCCATCTGATAAGGCTGGGGGGGGAGATAAAAACGCATTGCCGGGGGAGGGAGTCTTGCAGAGCGAGAAAACCGTGGGAGATTACCTGCGGTGAGAGTGAAGGACCTGGAAGGGCGGAGGGCACGGTCAGCGGAGGCAGAACACCTTGGGATAGGACCGGGGGGAAGCCCGACTGTGCACATCGCTAGTGGGGCTCCATCGAGGGGGATGTGACAGGGCATCTTTGGCAGCAGGCCCAGGGGATCCGGATGGGGGTGGATGAGAAAGGCGTTTAGCCCTCGAGGCCCGTGATGCTCAGGACGGGGGAGAAGGCCAGAAAATCAGTCTGACGAGGACTGCAAACAGGCTTTTAGAAAAGGAGAGGCCTGCCCACCAGTCCTTTATATTAAATAGCAAATCTGTGAACAGGAACCAGGCACCCATGGGGGCAGAGGTTCAGTGCAGGACCTGGGAATTCCCTCCTTCTCAAGAGAGGAGCGCCCCCAGCTCAAGCTGGGGGCATCTGGGAGAGTGTGTGGTGGCGAGGGGAAGAATTAAGGGTGTCCATGAGAACACTAAGGCACCTCCGGATAGGAGGTGGAGCTGTGTTGGAGCAGCCTGTGCAGACCGGTTCGGAATTCGGAAGAGCCCTTGTCATCTTGGGCCTACGTGCTTGGAGTCTTTGCAGGGCGGGGATCCTGCCTCCGGTCCGCGGTCCTGGAGTCAGGCAGGAATGATGTCATCGATGCCGGCGCCGAGGGGATGAAGGGGGAGGGTGATACCGATGTATGGAGGCATGGCCTAAAGAAGAGGATGCCTGCTGGCCATTGCCCTGGGGCTCCCTGGCTGTCATTGCTGCCAGCAAATGGGTAGGAAAGTCACAGGCCTGTTCAGCCGGACTAGAGAAGGGAGCGGGGAGGGATGCCTAGGCTGAGTTCATTCACTTAACCCACCTTGGGGCCAGTGCTGCAAGGGCTAAAACGAGGCAGGATGGGCCAGGAATCAAGAGGTATGGATGCCTGCCTTGCTCTCCCACCCGTGAAGCTCGAGGGGCTCCCTAAGCCTCTTCCCTCTGCTAGTCAGAGTGGCCCAGAATAGGCTCCTCTCTTGCGCCCGCAGCTTCAGAATTGACAATTGGCTTTGTGGTTTCCTAGATGAGTAACTTGCCTATAACGGTAGCCAAGAAGGACCAAGGTGGGAACTATGGCAATCTTCATGCCATATAGTTTGCTGGATAATTAGTTGTCATCTAGCTGGAGAAACGTGTCTCCTGTGTTTGGTAATGCTGAAACAGATGAGCTTTGTAGAAGTGTACAATATTAAACAGAGAGTCCTGCAGGGCTTTTTCCTACCTCGATGCCACCACTGAATTATGTGGGAACCAGAAAATCCCTGGGGAGAAGTTTGCTCTATGAACATAAAGAAGCACCTTGGCTGGGGTAGAACTTTGCTTAATAGGTTCCCTAGTCAGCTAACCTTGTTTCCAAACTAGGATGCCCTTCCCGTTCTAAGCTGATCGTGTATGGATGGAAGGGGTGGAGGCCCTGGTAAGTTGAGGAAAGGAGTGGTTCTTGTTTCTCATCTGAGGTTCCTGAGATAACAGCTGTCCAAGGAAAGAGAAGAAAGAGTAAGGCCATCAAGATTGTGCACTTGTCCTGGGTGACTCTGTTATTTCTGGTATTCCTTCTTAATCATGGGTGGAAGAGTCCTGAGCTGTTTTGGTTTGTGTGGCCCTGAAGAAGTTTGTGGTGAGGAGGTACTCATTAGAAGAGCTGTAGCTACCCACGCCCTTCTTTGAAAGCTAAAGTAGTCTACAAGAGAATACTGGGCTGAGGTTGAGTGAATCTTAAGGAAATAACAATACAGTCTAACACTTGGGGGTCATAGGCATTACCCTGTTTCTTGACTCTGCTCCTATATTGGAGTCTAGAGACACCCTAGACTCCTTAAGTGCCCTTTTTCCTTTGAGAACAGCAGAATTGTGTGTAGCATTTGCCCCAGGAACCTCCATTTGGGCCGTAAGGAATCAAGATGACACCACAGAGATGAGGGCAGAGTGACTCCGTAGCCATGTTTGGGGAAAGACCATCAAAACTAGGCCCCGGCTCAGATTCACCTGTGATGCCTTCCATTTTCTGCTATTATTTGTCTCTTGTCCTCCCTGAGCTATTTTTCCATTTAGAAAACAAACTATTCTTTTAATGTTTAAACAGTAGTTCCTCGTTCTCCCTTCCAAAGGATATCATGGAGGCTGATGTAGCAACTCAGAAAATTGATTTACCAAATACTGAATGTCTACACGGTTCCAGATACTCAACAAGATATCAGGGGCATGGTGGTTAGCCACATAAGTTCAGATGGGCCTGCCCTGCTGGATCACACAGTTCAGTAAAAGCTTATTTCTCTCACTCACTCCATAAGTGATCTCCCTGAAAGCATTGTGGAGTTGCCTTCGTAGACCCCAAGAAAAGATGGAAGCTTCGGTATTGGCCTCCCTGCCCCTTTCAGGACCTGGGCATATAGATAGGGGCCGGTGTGTAGGACCCCATCATCAAATAATCCACCCTCAAGGAGAAGCATCTTTTTCTTTTTCTTTTTTTTTTTTTTACTTGTAAAAGAAACTCATCTTGAAAAAGAGGCTTGGGGGAGTGGCAGCGCTTGAGAGAGAAGGTGCAGCAGTAGATCTGGGTGTTTCCAAGGTGCTAATTTAAGCATTAGCTCTCAGCTAGTGGGAGGCAGAGGAAGAAATCCCTGCCCTGTTGTTGCTGCTGCTGCTGCTACCACAGCTGCCTGGAGCCTCCTGTCTGGGGTGGGAGTTTGCCCAGAAGGAGTGGCTTCCCTTCTTTCCCTATCAGGCCAGTTATTTAATTGGCCTGACTGCATCTCAGCAGCTGAACCAGGTCCCAGCCTATCCCTGAGCTCCCCCAGGGTCTCTTCTTGTCTCCTTAGGAAAGAAATGAGAGCTCTTCTTGGTGACTATTCCCCAGGCTCTGCTCCTGCTGTGTCTGTCTTCCAGAAACTTTGGAGTGGCCCATTTTGTGTGCCAGCTGTGCCATACACCTCACTAATCCAGGGAAACTCCCTGCTGCCCAGGGCTCTGTTGAGCAATTGTTGGTATGAATGGCAGCAGGCACAGGTCCTCTGGACTATTGTCTGTTCAGCGGGTTGGTGCAGCCACACAGTCTACCTCTTGGAAGAGATTTGTTGCAAGAAAAACAAATAGAGCTTTTGAGTACTTAATTTCATCAAGCAACACTCTGCCTCCTGTGCGGTCGGAGGCATAAGATGCTTACACAGTGGTATATGGCAGCAGAAGTGGGCCGTGCACGCTTGAGAGAGTGCTAGTCTAGCCTCAGTGAAACCAGATTACCCATTAACCCTTTTGTTTAGTTCATGAGTGTTTGCTGCACGTCTGCTCAGTTCCTGGCACTTTAAGGACACAGAGACTAGTAAAGGCTCCGCTTATGGATCTCCAGGAGAAGGAGGGGCTCGAATGATAGCAGGAAGGTTTATAGATACATGTCAGAATGCATAGTGATGCTTGGTGATCCTCAGAGAGTGAGACAATGCTGTCATTTTGACACTTTGGCTGTTGGAGCTGGAAGAGGAGTTTAAGACTTCTATTGCCTGCTGACTCTAAGGGATGAAGATTACCAGAGCGTCAACTCAGTGACTGGGCCACAGGAACTCCTGAAAGTGGAAGGGAGAGCATCACAAAGATAGGAAGTCAACACTGTGGAAGACTAACCTATATGTCTGCCCTGGTCTATGCGCCTTTAACTTGTTCCTTGTAGTCAGATGGCTTTTCAGTTTAGGGGTGTGGCTCCTGGGGAGAGGACATCCCTCTCTATCTTCCTCCATTGGAAAACTGGGGTTGGGTTTGCCAAAGCCTTAGTCTTTACCTACATTGCTCCTTCTCCAAAAAAAAAAAAAACACTATAGAAGAACCTAGATGTTGTGCTGGGCTCAACAGACTCTCACTACAGAAGCATGCCCAGAGAAGGGTTGACTCATGCACCATGGGATAATGAGTACCACTGGAGAACCAGGAAGCAGGGCCCAGGGCCCAAAGATGGGGAGGGCTTCATACAGTCGACACTGCTAACCAGCTCTTAGAAAAGTATTAGGCGTACCAGTCAGACATGGTGCAGAAAAGGCAAGAACTCCAGGCACCAGACATGGAAGAAGAAACAAAAGAATACATTTGGGATGAAGTAAAGCCTGTAACTACGGGAAACAGGTTTGAGCTTAGGACACCACTGTAGTGGTGAACGAGAGGTGGGAAAAAGTGAGGTTGGAGGGTGAGGTGTCAGTAGGGAGACCTGATGAGAGGTGATGTGGCCAGAGTAGACGCAGATGCAGAGAGAGGGGAGGGAACAGATGTGCATAAAATGCAAGGGCAGGATATGGAGCCTCTTCAGATGTGGAGTGGACAGCTGGAGAATCAGAAGGGACTCCAAGGCTTCTGATGTGGCCATTTGGATGGAGGAAGGGACCATCACCAACCATCTCAGGAAATAAATGTGGAGGCCATGCCCTTGCTTTGGTGACTTCTTGTAATAGAGACAGTGTCTCTTTTCCTTTGCTCAACTTCTGGGATTATGGGGAACTCTATTTCTAGATTTCTAGAAAACCAAACATGATGACAGTGACCCCAGCCTCACAGGGTCACAGAATATGTGCTCCTCTGAATATTTCTGCCTTGAACCTACTTTGCTGAGTACAGAGAATTGGTGGCAGCAAGAAACCACAGTCGGGTTTTTATTTATTGTTTTCTAGACAGTCTCATGTTACCCAGGGTGGCCTGAAACTCAGTAAGTCACTAAAGATGATTTGAAATCTTGATCTTCCTGCTGCTGCCTCTGTATGTAGCTAAGAATATAAATCACAGTATAGCCAAAGATGACTTTGAACTTGGTATCCTCCAC